TCTATACGTACATATATACAGTATAATCTTTATTGCAATTTGCATTATACCGTACTTATAACAAAGTATATTCTAAATTTAGCAAACAAAAGTTGAATTATTTTTAAATTGATTTAATTTACCGGTTGTACTTCGTGTTTGACAAAGTAACAAATTATTTTTCCATTATGAAGTTCGAATACACAGAAGTTACATAATTTGCAGTATCTGTACAGTACATACGAAAATACGAGAGTACGAACATTGTGATACATACATATTCTCAATAGTCACATTCGGCTAAAGTAAAAAACGAAGTAACCTACATCCATGATTTGTATCATGTGCAGTGTTAATCACCCGGGATATTTATATCAACAACAAATAATGCATTCGTGTTACACAGATTCATGTTGATTTAAAGAATTGAAACCGGAATAAATTTTTTATAAATAGAGTCGTATGAAAAAGAATTGATTTCTTCACATCGAAAAAAAACATTCATAAAACTTATTTCAAATAAACTCTTATTAACCTTATTTAAAAAATAAAATCAAAATTAATAACTTTGTGTATTTATCGATCCATAAAATATTATTCACAATAATACTTAGGGTTCCTTTGCTAACCAAAATTACTCTTTATTCAGTTTCTTTTTTCTGAAAAACCTTTGCTGACCTTTGAACGTAAATACTATTTATATCCATACCACTCGTACAACTTCTCTTTTACTGAAAAACCTTTGTTGACCTTTGAGTGTAAATACTATTTGTATCCATACCACTCATACAAATTCTCTTTTTACTGAAATGTCTTTAGAAGAGAACGAAACCTTTTCTTTTATTGAAGAACAAATAGAACATACTCCAAAAAATTATTCGAAAAAGAGGAGTAGAATTTCATTTATTGCATGTGATAAATGCAGGAGCATGAAAAAAAAGTGTGATGGAGATTATTTGAGTCAAAAATCCTGTTCATATTGTGCTAGCCGTAAAGAGGAATGCAGATATTCGGATAGTCAAAAGAAAAAACCTACAGAAGCTAATGATGTTCAACAGTTTATTAATAGATTAGAGGTTATTGGTGATGAGATACAAAAATTAACGGATGAACTAAGAAAATTTTATGAACTTAGTAAAAATCAGGAAGAGCTAAAGTTTCTTGGAAATGAATACGTTGAATCTAGTACCAATAATCTTAAAAGGAAACAACCTGAAGTGACACGCTCTCATAAACCTAAATCCAAAATTTCTGGATTAAAAAGAAATTCTAATGAATCCAAAAAAGATTCTTCATCTAAAAAACAAAAAGACACAAAAGGTTATTTTTCAAAAATCTATTTACCTAAAGGAAAATATGTAACGCATCAATTTGATCTCAAGGATTTTAATGAAACCTCTCCTCAATTTGAGAACATACAACTTCAATCTTCTCCACCTTCTTCTACCGAATTAATTAAAACAGATGCTAATGATATTAATAATTTTAATAATGATACTTCAAATTTTCCTGAAAATTTGTCATATATTTTTCCTCCTCCGGAACAAATGATTTCAAACCCGATTTTCCTTTACGATGATTTAAATAACATTTTATAAGGTGGAATAAACAATAATTCTCGTTCTTATCTAAAGCTTTAAGGTTGTCATTTTTTATAAGATTTTTCATCTTTTATTTGAATTATAAAAAATTTTATTTTTATCTTTCAAATTATGAACCTATTATATACATATTCGAAACTATTCGACGTTTGATTTTAAAAACTTTCACATTATTTTATTGAAAATTAAGCATATGCCATAGAGATTTATAATTATAACTATTGAAATATTAAATATCATAGAATAAAATTATCAGCATGTGATTTATTAAATGTTATAGAATAAAATTATTATCGTTTGATTATTAAATATTATTATAGAATAAAAATTACCAGCGCATGATTTATTAGAGATTATAGAATAAAATTACCAGCGTATAATTTAGCAATCTTTGATACAGACATATCGGATAGCCAATATAATCATATTGTTTAATGGAGTAATAATTCCGTCTGCAAATAAAAAAAAAACTTTTTTATTTTGATATATATTAAGCCAATTCACCATTATTATTATATATTAAGCCAATTCACCATTATTATTATATATTAAGCCAATTCACCATTATTATCATCATTAATAACGAATTGGTCCATGAAACGCCAACTTCAAATTACAGTATTCAAGTATCTTTAAGTTATGTAAATCCTTTCCAGTGTATAAATCTTTCTATTTAGATACGTACGTACGTACGTACTTTATATCGGTCTTAGTGCTGCATGTACGTACTTACGTACATATCATATTGTATTACGTTACCTGCGTATACTAAATTCATAAAAAAAATTTTTTTTTTTTGCATTAACGTTGATTTTTTATTCTATATGATTAAAAATGGGCCTTAGAAAATTATTTACAAAAAAACATTTACCATTTATACTGAACTATAAGAGGAATTCTCTTATTTACAATAATTGGAATAAACTTTACAACACAAGTGCTGTATGTTTAAATCAAGCACATGAACCCATCTCTAATGGACCTCTGTCTGGGATTAGAGTAGTGGATCTTACACGTGTATTAGGTGTGAATTCTTAGAAATTGACATTTGTTTCATGACAATAATGATAATAAAATTTCTTTTAAAATTTAGCTGGGCCTTATTGTACTATGCTATTGGGAGATTTGGGGTAAATTTATAACGAAAATTTAAAATCTAAGATGCATTAAAAATGACAAGATGAATATTAAATGTTTTAGAATTATGTGAATTTTATATTTAATATATGTTATTTAGTGCTGAAGTAATAAAGGTAGAAAATCCAAAAATTGGTGATGATACTCGTACATGGGGACCACCTTGGGCAACAAATAAAGACCCTAATGACCTTTCAACACCAGAAAGTGCTTACTTTTTGTCGATTAACAGGAATAAAAAATCAATCACTGTAAATTTAAAGTCACCCGCTGGTATAAATATAATAAAAGATTTGGTCAAGCAGAGTGACATATTAGTGGAAAATTACATTCCTGGAAAGTTGGATAAAATGGGATTAGGTTTTGATGAATTGAGTAAAATTAATCCACAGTTAATCTATGCTTCAGTCACTGGTAAAAAATTTTGTTTCTTTTGTTAGTTTAGATAAAATTAGTATACTTTTTGTCTATTTATTTAAGTCAATTTAAATTCAAAGTCTCAAACATACTGTCATAAAAGGTTATGGCCAAACAGGACCTTATTCGAAACATGCTGGATATGACGTCGTGATAGAGGTGAGTTGATACTATTTTTCTAATTATTTGTTCAATTAATTAATCAAAAGTTTTTTAGGCAGAGGCTGGTTTAATGTATATTACAGGTGAAGAGGACGGACCACCTGTAAAGGTTGGTGTGGCTATAACAGGTATAATTTTTTTTTGATATAATAATATAATCTTTTGAATGTCAAGATTATGAGATTATTAAGATTATTACTAATACTCTAAATTTTTTAATTGTCAAGATTTAACAACAGGTACATTATGCTAAAATCTCTTAGACATCAAATAGATTAATTTGAATTAAATCGGTTCTTAACTTTCATTATAATGATAAAGGACTTTACACACATGGAGCAATTATGGCTGCACTAATATCAAGGAGCAAAACAAATCTTGGTCAAAGGATAGATTGCTCACTTATTGAATGTCAAGTTGCTTCATTAGCAAACATTGCTAGCAATTATCTCATTTCTAATCAAGAAGCTAAACGAATGGGTACATCTCATCCCTCTATTGTTCCATATCAAATATTTCCAACTAAAGATGGTTTTATTATGATTGGTGCTGGAAATGATAAACAATTTAAAATTTTATGTAATACAATTGACATAGATGAATTAATAAATGATCCAAGATTCACTACAAATTCGGATCGTGTATTTCATCGTAAAGAATTAATTTCACTTTTAGAGGAAAAATTCTTGAATGAAACTACTGATCATTGGCTGTCATTATTATCTGATAAGGAAATTCCTTTTGCTCCAATTAATAATATTCAGCAAACTTTTGAACATCCTCAAATTCTTGCTCGTGGAATGATACAAGAAGTTGATCATCCTAAAGCTGGCAAAATTAAACTAACAGGTTAAATACTTTGTTATTTAGATACTTGAAATTAATAGTTATTTTATTTGTAATATTTATTTTTCGTTATGTTTTTTAGGTATTCCTGTTAAATATAGTAGAGAAACATTGAAAATAAGATCACCACCTCCAACACTTGGCCAACATACGCGTGAAATTTTAACTAATTTATTACATTACACTAATGAGAAAATAGATCTTTTAAATGAAACTGGCGTTATTTAGATGTTTGTTAAAATATTAATTTTGGGGAATTTTTTCTAGATAATAAACATTTTTCGTTTTCATTTGTCTTTTTGTTTTGAAATTGATTTTATGCTTTTTGCCAAATCATTATCTTGACACAGTACTTTGAGATAATCTGTACCGTATTTTGCAACATCTTAAAATATAATTATTTTTATTTGCCTTATATTTATATTAATTTAGAGCTGCAAATTAATTTATAAAAGTTCATATACTTCATTAATTAAACTAGTGACGATTAAAATATGCAATTTCTACGTCATTATGTTTATCATACAAAGATCAATTTTTTTTAACTATGGGGTCTTAAGCCATAGGAAGACTTTCGTATGATTGGCTGTTTAAGTCTATTTAATTTTACATTATTTATGCAATTTAAAGCACTTTTTTTAAAAAAAATCAAACTACGAAGAATAAACAAAAAAGAAGTATATAAAAGGTTTTATTAAGGTTGTAGGACTCCATCATTAAAAATAATCACAATCATTTTTGGTTTTAGAGAAGTTAACATAATAGCGACTTCTTAAAGATAGATAGAATTAGGTAATTGCAATGCTAACTTCTCTAAAACAAATAGGGATTTTGATTATTTTAATAGTGGAGTCCTACAACCCTATTAAAACTTTCTATATACTTCTTCGTAGTTAGATTTTTTTTTTAAAAGTACTTTAAACTGTTATAGAGTTTAGAACCGGTTTTATTTTTCATATGTTAAAACCGGTTTTAATCGATTTTATCATATGAAAAATAAAACCG